GCGGTTTCGGGCCCACAATTGAAAGTTAATTACCAACATTAGAGGGCGCCTAGGATTGTACTGTAGGGGCCTTAGTAGTTGCGAATACTATTTTTCAGGGGTGCCTTATTATATAATTATAGTTATATTGGGCCACAAAACCCTATCCTAATTATTAAGGCCCTTACATTAATATTCGGGGGAAGCGATTCAACTCCTAAACCGTGCGAGCCCCCAAAACTGCCAGAGCTAAACCCTAAACCCAGAGCGCCCCAAGGGGCGCCTTTTCAGGAACGGAGGGGCGACTCGTGAACCAATCAGCGCTTGCCCAGGACTCGATCACCTGCACTTGAGGGTTTTACGGTTTAGGATTTAGGGTTGTTTTTGGGGAGTTTAGAGAGTGCACTTTTAACTTCGAGAGTTGGAGGTTTGGGGCTGTAGGGTTCTAAAGCGCTGAAAGACCCAAGGCTCCAGCCTCAAACACCTAAGCCGCAAACCCAAAACCCAAAGGCCTGCACCTGAAACTCGTGTGCAAGGCTTGTGTTATTTTCGGGTTCAGATTTCTCAAGCTTTGGGGGTACTTGGAGGATCATGGGACTTAGTAAGTAAGGTTATAGGTCCCTTAATTGGGGTTATACGTAAATATAAGTATAGTTACCTTTATTATAACCCTACTTACTAAGTCCCATGATCCTTGAAGCAAGGGAGGAGTTGCTTTTACATGCGAGTTTCAGAACATAGGGGACCCTAGTATAGGACCCTAAATAGTAGGATCCTTATTATGAGGACCCCTAAATACGGTACCCTAGTTTTGTGAAACTACCACATAGGGTGTTGGGGTCCGGTCGAGTTAGCGGCTTTGGGACCTCCGGCCTGAACCCGCCCAGAGAGCCCAATACCCCTTAATTAAGGAATATAGCTTAAACCATAATATTAAGGCCCCTATAATTTAAGCTATATTCCTTAATTAAGGAATATAGCTTAAACCATAATATTAAGGTTTAGGTTTTAGGGTTTTAGGGGGTTTTGGGTTTTAGGGTTTAGGGTTTGGAATATAGCTTAAACCATAATATTAAGGCCCCTATAATTTAAGCTATATTCCTTAATTAAGGGATATTGGGCTCTCTGGGCGGACTTTCCAGCACCCGGACTTTCCAGGCATGCGCATGAGGACAAGGGTTTGGGTTGAAGGCTTCGAAGCTTTAAAGGGTTGAAGGGTTTAGGGCTTAAGGGGATTTAGGGGGTTTTGGTGGAGTTTTTGGGTATGCGACGCTTATAGTCTTCAGTCTGGCTTTGCAGTTGGGGTGTCAGGCTTTAGCATGTGAGGGGTTTAGGGATTCAGATATGTCTCGCCTGCTTGGCAAAAGGATTTCCCTTCTTCATCTTGTCCTCCACGTCATGGTAAGCGTCGAACATCAAGATCCTTGGGATCAGCATCTGAACTCTCAAAATCGCCTTTTCCCCAAGCCACCGTACTGAAGTAGAATTAGGTCTTGAGGTGTATAAACAACGATTGTGAGAGAACTAGAAAGAGGGGAGCTTAGCAGAATCACTCGGACCTCATATTCGGAGGCCAGGGTCATGCGGCTGAGGCCAGAGACAGCCCCGGCGGCAAGTTCCTGCAGTGAAGCTTTTGCGCAGGACTCGGGCTCGCAGAGGCTTTGGGTTTTCGTTTAAGTGCAACTGCCCCTTCTGGCTCCGGGTTTAGAGTTTGACGTTCTCCATTGAAGGCACACGTACATGTAACCACTTCACTTACATAGAAACTTCCGGTTATAATGCAAAGCCTCAAGCTCTGACCCTCCTAAAGACCGGGACCCTCAGCCCTGAACCCTCCCCGAAAACTCTAGGCACCGTGCGGCGCAAGAGCTCAGGGTTCTAGGGCAAACATGGCCTTTTGGGGGCCGGACCCACACAGCCAGGCCCACTTCAACCCTGCGCCTAAACCCTAAAGTCTGAAACCTGCCTACTTTGGTGGCAGCGGCAGCAGCAGCACCAGGAGGAGCAGGAGGAGGAGCAGTAAAAGTGATAGTAGTAGTACTTGTAGTAGTAGTTGTAGTAGCAGTTGTAGTAGTAGAAGTAGTAGTAGTAGTAGTAGTAGTAGTAGTAGTAGTAGTAGTAGTGGTAGTAGTAGTAGTAGTAGTAGTAGTAACAGCAGCAGTCGCAGTCGCAGTCGCAGTCGCAGTCGCGGTCGCGGTCGCGGTCGCGGTCGCAGTCGCAGTCGCAGTCGCAGTCGCAGTCGCTTTCGCAGTCGCAGTCGCAGTCGCAGT